ACTAGGGATTTGGTCACGATTTGGGGATTTTTGTTCTTGTTAATCTGTTTCTAAAACGGTGGCGTTTAGTCACTCAACGGACATTAACGTCTCTTAAACGGTTAATAATGTTGACTAAATTCATAACTCAAATGGCTCAATTGACTTAAAGTTCGTAATTTATATGAATCATTAGCAAGTTTGTAATTAAATTGGCTCAATCGGTAGAGTTCATATTTAAAATGGCCATTCTCTCATTTAGAAACTCTAGTCCATAAAAAATATAGTTGAAGGTTTTATAAAATACATTGGGCCTTCCAAATTTAATTGGACCGGATTATCTTACTGGGCTCCCTTTAAAACAAATTTGTTTCGCTTTTTTTTTAAAGCGGGTCAAACAAAATAAAATCGCTTCCAAATTCTCAGAGCTTCGAAGCTCGACACAAATTAAATTCACACTTGCTCTGATTTGGATTGTGTTTAGCTTCGTTTCTCATCTTCGATTATCTTCCCCAAATTCGTTTCAAGGATCTTCTCACATTTACTGCTTTCATGGAGATTCTCCAGCCCAATACCTCAAACGGTATCTCTCACATTTCTCACTGTATATGTCTTTTTGATACCTCTAATCGTAGCGACGAATTAGTGTTCTTAGTCAAAATTAGGTTTTCGTCTGATTTCATTGAATGCATGTCGTTTCTTAACCTGATTTTGGCTTCTCTGTGGATAAATCTATACTTTTTATTTAGGGTTTGTGTGAAAAAGGATTGTTCTTTTTTTGGCGAGTAATGTGACTATGGAGCTTACTTGCAAATCTCATGAATGACAGGTTACCATAAAAGAAAGCTTGATAATGGACCCTCTCTCGGTTCTGTTACACCTGAAGTTAAGCGGTTAAAGACCTCACCAAGAGTTATTGACTATTCTCAACCATTTTCCATCAGTAACATGCTTGAAGTTTTAGATGGTGGTAAGTTTGGGAGTGTTACAAAAGAATTACAAGAGGTTGCTGATCTGAGGATGGGACTGGTCAAGCATTGTATCACGTTATACCCGTTGCTAGCGAATACCGTGTTCGGAGGAGACAAGAGTCAGAACATGGAGCTTATGAGTTTGGAAAATCCACAGGTTGTGGAAGATCATGTCATCGACTTGGATGATGATGATGCTACTGATGTTTTAAGTAAAGCTATCTGTGTGGTTCCTCCTTCATCAAGTGAGATTGTGATTCTTGATTCTGATGATGAAGACAGTGAGAGTCAGAGGCCTATGTATCCGTTTCAGTCAAGTCTTGTGCTGCATCAGAAGAATCATGGGGATGAGCCTGTAGTATTGCCGCAATGTTCTTTCGAGGAAGTCCTTTTGGGGAAGGGAAAGGAGATGTATCCTGCCATTAAAGCCGTAGTGGTAAGTTTCTTATCTCTGTCAAGCTATGCGGAACTGTGTTTGAAACTTGATTGAAGGTTACAAATTCATGTTACCCGTGATGTCTGAGTTCTTGTCTTTTGTAATTTCACAGGAGGGAGAAACAAGGAAACAAAAAATCCTTGCCATTGAAAATGGTGTGGTTAACGACAAAGGTGTCTACGTGGGCGTTGAGGATGATGACAGTGATAATGAGTCTGAAGCAGCAGATGAGGATCTTGGTAATATCTGGAATGAAATGGCCATGTCAATTGTGTGTTCTAAGGTATATATATCTGATCATTTTCTTCAGATGGAATGGAAATTTCAGTCTTTTATTTAGTTTTTTCGGCAAAAGACCGTTTGTTTCATCTTGCTGTCCTAAATATTGGTGAAGAATTCATCACAAGGGTTGAATTATTTTTGTTTCTTCCCTTTTTACTGGTGAATAGAGTTACTGATCTACAAATCGATTGGTAGTGCCTCTACGTATTTAACTTATTCGCTATTTTAAATGTTCAGCTGTGCACTTCAACAAGTACTCAGATTGGTATCTCCTTGATGAAGTGGGTTCTGTACTTTTTTTTTGTCACTATAGCAATCCTAGTGTTTGATGTTGCATCTCTTGGATTTCTTGCATCTAAGATAGTTATCAGAGAGCTCATTTTAGGAGCTTAGCTTCTTATTATTAATCTTTATATATGTATGTATGTATAATTTCTTTGTTGCCACTCTTCTCGCTTTGTTCATTGTAATCACAATAAATGTGCAGGATGTGGCCGGAGAGACTTCACATAAGGAGCCAAAGGCAGATGTAGTGGAAGACTGCGAGCACTCGTTTATTCTAAAGGACGATATGGGTTATGTCTGCCGTGTCTGCGGAGTTATTGAGAAAAGTATATTAGATATAATTGATGTGAATTTCAGTAAAGTAAGTATCCCCTTTTCTTACTATGCTATTTTGTGCTTTGATGGAAATGTATGTTTCTTGTCAGAATACAATAGGGGTGGGACTTCTTCATACATGTACTTTATTTCCATTGCATCCATGATGCCTAGGCTTTTCAATTTTTGTCATCAAACTGTTATGGAAACTGTAGTGTCCATATGATCTATTGTTATCTTTTCAAGGTCAACGTGGCTGCTTAACACAAAAATGGTTTCTCCTACGTCTTTATACATGTGCTCTAAATCCCTTACCTCCATAATGCTTAGGTTTTTGAATTTTTGTTTAGCACAACATAAGGAGCTTAGCACAAAAATTGTTTCCCCTACTAAGATCGGCAGAGCTTCTAATTCTTCTTTTACTGTTTATTGTAGGCGAAACGAAACACGAGAACATATGCCTCTGAAGCTAAGAATAAAAAGTTTGGCGAATCTGATGCTGTAATTAAGTTCTCCGAAGAAGGGCTGATGATAGGTGGACTTGCTGCTCATTCAGTGCATGCTGAAAAAATGAAGCCTCATCAGATTGAGGGATTCCAGTTCCTTTGCAGCAATTTAGTGGCAGACGAACCTGGTGGTTGTATCATGGCTCATGCTCCTGGTTCTGGAAAAACCTTCATGATCATCAGTTTTATGCAGAGCTTCCTTGCAAAGTATCCTCAGGCTAAGCCACTGGTTGTGCTTCCAAAGGGAATTTTGTCTACTTGGAAAAGAGAGTTCGTGAGATGGCAAGTTGAGGACATACCACTGCTTGATTTCTATAGTGCTAAAGCAGAAAACCGTGCACAGCAGCTGGCTATTTTGAAACAATGGATGGAGAAAAAGAGTATCTTGTTTCTTGGCTACAAGCAGTTCTCAACGATTGTATGTGATGATACAAGTACCGACTCACTTTCTTGCCAGGAGATACTGCTCAAAGTACCTTCGATCCTCATATTGGATGAAGGACACACTCCAAGGAATGAGGACACAAACGTATTGCAGTCCCTTGCCCAAGTGCAAACACCAAGGAAAGTTGTCCTCTCAGGAACGCTTTATCAGAACCATGTCAAGGAGGTTTTCAACATTTTGAATCTCGTTCGACCCAAGTTCCTCAAATTGGATACCTCCAAGTCCGTGGTGAAGAGGATACTGAGTCGTGCTCCAATTGAGGTCAAGAAACTTAAAGGAAGCGGTTCAGATGTTGCTTCGGCTTTCAATGAAATTGTGGAGCACACCCTGCAGAAGGGCGAGGATTTCAAGGTGAAAATTAGCGTGATCCAAGATTTGCGGGAGATGACAAAGAAGGTGCTTCATTACTATAAAGGAGACTTCTTAGATGAGCTTCCTGGACTTGAGGATTTCACTGTGGTTCTTAATCTGTCTCCAAGGCAGTTGAGTGAAGTGAAGAAGTTAAAACATGAGAAGAGAAAATTTAAGGTTTCGTCTGTGGGAAGTGCCATTTACCTTCATCCCAAGCTGAAAGATTTCTCTGAGAAGTCTGATGATGTCTCTGATACAACTATGGACAATCTGCTAGAGAAGCTAGATGTGAAAGAAGGCGTCAAAGCAAAGTTCTTCCTCAACCTGATAAACCTGTGCGACTCAGCAGGTGAGAAGCTTTTGGTTTTCAGCCAGTATCTCGTGCCGCTGAAATTTCTTGAACGACTAGCTGCTCAAGCTAAGGGATGGAAGCTAGGAAAAGAAGTTTTTGTTCTTACAGGCGAATCCAGTTCTGAGCAGCGTGAGTGGTCAATGGAAAGGTTTAACAATTCGCCAGATGCCAGAATCTTCTTTGGTTCGATAAAAGCATGTGGAGAAGGAATCTCGCTTGTTGGAGCATCTCGCATACTAATATTGGATGTTCCTCTGAACCCTTCTGTGACACGCCAAGCAATCGGGAGAGCTTTTCGGCCTGGACAAACAAAGAAGGTGCATGCATATAGATTGATTGCTGGTTCATCACCTGAGGAAGAGGATCACAAGACTTGCTTCAAAAAGGAAGTCATCTCAAAGATGTGGTTTGAGTGGAACGAGTACTGTGGATATCGGAATTTTGAGGTAGAGACAATTGATGTGGATGAATCTGGTGATGTGTTCCTTGAAAGTCCTGCCTTGAGAGAAGACATACGAGTTCTCTACAAAAGGTAAAATCAGTTATGACCAGATCCACACATTACTCTTTAAGTCACATATCCTGGCAATTAACTTCCTCAATGCTCCTTTCTCAGGTAAACGCTGACGTGATGCGGACAGAACATTGTTCATCCGGTTTGGTCATGCTTAGGCTTCAGAAACCTGTCAATAAGATAACCTTTAGGTCGATCCTTTTGAACATTATGAAAGATAGTTAATTTAGGAGTGTTTTTTAAGTAGAGCTTTAAGTGTGGTTTTATTGTCAAACATTTGGTCTCATGTACCTCTCTGAACAAAATATCCAATTTGAGGAACTTGGGTTGAACGTGAAATGTTGAAAACCTCCTTGACATGGTTCAGATAAAGCGTTCCTGAGAGGACAACTTTTCTTGGTGTTTGCACTTGGGCAAGGGACTGCAATGCATTTGTGTCCTCATTCCTTGGAGTATGTCCTTCATCCAAAATGAGGATCGAAGGTACTTTGAGTAGTAACTCCTGGCAAGAAAGTGAGTCGGTACTTGTATCACCACATACAATAGAACTGCACGTAGCCAAGAAATAAGATACTCTTCTTCTCCATCCACTGTTTCAAAATAGCTGTGGACGGTTTCATTAACCAGGACATACAAATTATATCAAGTCTTAGATTGTGTTCATCATCTCATCGTGATTTCTCATTAGTCTACAAAATCATTTTCTGGTTTGCTTTTACAAAAAAAGAATATACTACTACTGTACTACACCTCTCTATTGTCTTCATCAAGCTACAAAATCATGCAACAATTGTGAAGGACCAAGCTGGTGCTGGCGGTTGCCAGAGTTTAAGTACTGGAAACCAGTTCCGGGGACGGTATTCACATAAGGATCTATCCCACCGGACATAGGGACATCGCTACGAGCGTCCGAATTTTGAATCCCCAACGATAAAGACATCCCACCACTACTGTTTCTTGTCATCTCGGTCACCATCATGAACTGATCAGCAACATGGGCAACCGTGTTCTGTCCCATGCTACTGCTTGCCACACCAGATATATGCCTGTTGTTGGAACTAGACTCCATTTGCTGTTCTTGAATCTCGGCGATTTTCGGTGAGTTTTCGGAGGACAAGTTGGGACCATTCTCCTCCAATGCATCTGTGAATTCCTCCTTGTACATCTCTTCCACCATCGGCTTCCAGAGACGCACACGCGCATTTATGAACCAGTTCGACACCTATCAACAATCATCAAATGAAACAACAACTAAATGAACTCAACAACAAGAAAAGCATTGGATGAGAGAAAAGACACAAAAGCTAGCACTGTAGTACCTGGCCTCGGCTCAACCCTGTTTGTCTAGCTAGCATGATCTTGTCTGAATCCTTTGGATAACTAAATTGATGGTTTTCAAACACAACTCGTTAGAATCTCTTCTGATGAACAACAAATTCACAAGTGTAATAAATAAAGATGGACTTACGGGTGGAGGAAATGCTCGAAGAGCCAAGCACGGAGAATCAAAACAGAGGAATCAGGTAAACCGCGTTGAGGCCGCCAAGTGTGAGGTTGCATAACGCCTAACCGCTGTAACGCTCTTTGTTGCCTTACCTGTTGATCAACATTCCTCAATCTGCTTATCCCCACTCCAATGCCGTCTGATCCATCATTTCCGCCTCCTAAACTTTTCCTTGTCACCAAGATTTGTCCTGATATCGCATCCCTTAAGCAACGGAAATGCCTCGAGATGGTCTGAAGCGCAAGAGCCGTGTATGGTTTGGCTGCTCCACATCCGGCTATTACATCGAAAGATGATACAACTATCTGCATCTGATGGTAATACTGCTTGTATTTTCTATCCACCTTTAGACAAAACAATCAAACACCATTTATGTTATCAAGAGAGCAATCATTATGAGCACTGAGGAGATATGGCTTAAGACGAGTTACCTCATCCAGTATCGATAAGAGTTTCGACAATTTGCTCTGCAGTTCTTGTCTCTCTGCTTGAGGGATATCAGCAGGAGGAAGATTTGTGCTCAATTCTTGAAGATTCTTCTCTTTCTCTTCATCAATCTTGTCTCCCTCTGGCTGAAAATGCTTCAGAGCTTTCTTAATATTAACAGCTTCATCTAGAAGCTGTTGAGCAGCCTTGAGATACTTTGAGTTGTGAATAGTTCGAGTAAACCCCGAAACAACCTGTGTCGCGTACTCATTGTTATTCCCTCTCGATGTCTCAATCTGCGACCTGAGGCCAAGTGACAGTCCCTGTCCCGTGGCGGGGCGCAACATCGCCGGGAAGCAATTCCTGTCATTGTCTTCTTGAACCCTCCAAGAACCGGAATCTTGAGTCTCCAGCATCTGTGAAGCTACACCAAAACTGGACAATACTTGAATCTGTTTTGAAGCTGAGACATCATTTAACGTCTGTGAGAAAGAAACCGCAGGATTCGTGTAGATCATTGCGTTTCCAGGGACAACTTCAGGTAGATTTGGTCTGGAATAAATGTCACTTGAGCCACTACTTTTGTAATAAGTTGACATAGTCTCCTTCTCCTTCTTCTACTTATGGTTAAATCAAATTTATCTGAGACAAAGATTGAGAGCTGCTTCAGATTCATACACAATCAACACTAACAAAATCATTGATTAAACAAGGGAAATGGTCTCGATTGTAAAAATTGGAACTTTCAGATGAAATTGAATGGACAATGAACAAATACTACAAGAAACATGTGAATCTATCTACATGAATATAAAAATGAAAAAGAAAGAAAGGAAGAGATTAAAAAATTACCAGGAAATCATCAGCTTGCAACTACTACTTCTTGTGAGTGTATGTTAAAGTCGACACAAGGAAAAAAAATCAAAGCTTGATGATCC